CGTTCGATATTCACCGATAGAGGGTGTCCTATAGGCGGAAAAGATGAGTTAATTCAAAGGCGCTCGAGAGAGAGCGGGCTGCGATAAGAAAACGCTTTGAAGTTTCCAAATACCGCTTATCGCTGATTGGCTGAAGGCTAATTAGTCACGCTAGCTGGAAATCGTTGTATGTCCTTCTTATTAATAGGTCCATGACCAAACTAGTCCCAAATTAATAATTCTTACTGCAAATTACATTTCTATACCACTTACATATATAATTAATTTATCATTTTCTACACGATTCTTCCCAGATGCACTAAAAAAGGCAAAGGTTATTCCCATTTTCAAAAAAAGGATCACCGTCTGACCCAGGAAATTATAGGCCAATCTCCGTCTTACCTCAATTTAGTAAAGTCTTTGAAAAAATAATCAATAAACAACTTACATCATATTTAAACCGATTTGATTTATTATATTCTCGTCAATATGGTTTTAGAGAGAAATATAGTACAAAAATTGCTATTACGGATTTTACACAGAATTTGTCGCAAAATTTTTAGACTTTAAAAAGCATTCGATACTGTGAACCATGGCATTTTAATAAGTAAGTTACGTCATACGGAATACGAGGATTACCTTTTGCTTTATTCAAAGATTATTTAAATAATAGGAAACAGTGTGTTAGTATAAATGGGATTGAATTAAATGAACTTCCACTAACATGTCGTGTACCACAAGGGTCTGTGTTAGGCCCTACGTTGTTTCTTATATATGTAAATGATATTGCAAGTGCTACTAATTACTTTGACACTCGCCTTTTTGCAGATGATACCAGCTTATTTCATACCTTTAATACATATGATAATATTGACCTAAATTCTGTAAATGAACAATTAAAACACATTGTAGACTGGTTTGATTTAAACAAATTAACAATCAACTCAAATAAAACTAAGTATATTATTTTTCTTGGTAAGCACACTGTGGTCTAACCAAATGGTACAATTTATATAAAAGGAGCACCAATTGATGAAGCAGAATCTACAGAGTATATTGGAGTAACTCTTGACAAAAATCCGGCATGGAAAGAACATATTAATAAGGTAAATAAGGTAAATACATATGATATGCCGCATAAGAGTAGATTGTGCTCTGTTACTTTACCGTTGTTACCATCAAATTTTGCTGGTTTATTACACTGTGATTTACTTACTGACATGTTATTATCATTTTGAACAGATAAGTCGCCTTAGCCACTAGATTTTTTGCCTAACTTTGTCAGTTTTACTTGGTTATTTCTAGGCCAACATAGGCCTGGATTATCCATTGTGTGACATGGTCATTCAAGAACTCCAGTTGGCTCCAAGTGCCCTTGGTTTTGGCTACAGATCTGTGTCAGCCTACCTTGCCGGCACTTCTAGTTTTTCATATTCCGGGAAGTTAATGTTTACTCTGAACAATCCTACTCCTCTTACTGACTCACTTGCTTGCAAACTTAAGGAGTTCGGGTTAATTTAGGGCTCGTTCAAGAGGATGCCGTGCCGGCCGCCGTGTACATAGATCTATACCTCTACTTGTACGTAGAGGAAACAGTTTACAACTGCACCCTTCTAGGGGGATTAAAATAAACAATATTATCCCTATCCCTACTGTCCAACCACCTTTATCTCTTGTTCCATCTCGTTTTGCACTGTGGAATTCACGTTCCTTAAGGACGAAAACACATGAACTTTGTGATCGATATCATGGCAGTAACTGAAACCTGGTTCTCGGGTGACGAGCGCGACTGCTTTGCTCTAACAAGAAGTTACTTCCACACTTTAGGTCATTTAGCGTTTATCGTACTCACCGGGGCGGTGGTGTTTCCATCTTTCTCAAGTCGACTTATAAAGTTCATCAGTATGATGTTGACTCTTATAAGTCCTTTGAGTATCTTGACTTGACAGTCACAAGTCCGTCCTTGTCAACATGTTTAAGGCTATTAGTTTTGTATCATGCACCTCCTTCCAGTAAAAACAAACTATCGGTTAACCTCTTCTTTGATGAATTTTCTTCTCTGCTGGAATCTGTTTCTCTCTGCAATACTGAACTTATGATCGCTGGCGATTTCAACTTTCATGTTGACAACAAAGATGACAGGGATTCTGGTGCATTTCATGAGATCCTTAACTCTGCTGATCTCCAGCAGCACATAACCACACCCACGCACAAGAAAGGTCACACACTTGACCTCCTCATTTCTCGCAGGACCAGTAGTCTTATTTCCTCAACTAAAACACATCCCGACCTTCCTTCTGATCATGTGGCTATCACTACTAATATCAATGTCTACCGTCCTCCTCTTGCTGTCATCTACGTTCGCAGGCGTAACATTAAGTGCATTGATAGCCAGCAGTTTTCCGATGATATCAAGTCATCGTTTCTGAACAATATCACTGAAAACTTAGACATCCTAGTCCAACAATATAATTGTGTCATGAGAAATATCACTGACCGGAAAATCATCCTGCGTCCTCATGCTGTATGGTACAATGACGTGCTAAGGGCTAAGAAACGTTCCAAGCGACAAATGGAGAGAAGGTGGCTTAAGACCAAACTCGCCATACACAATGATTTGTTTGACATGTTCTAAGTGTGATTAAGGCATCACGAAATAAATCCAGTGAACTTGATTCCATTCCTACACTTCTCTTGAAAGGTCATCACAACCAGCTTTCACCAATCATAACTCATATTGTGAATGAATCTCTCATGACTGGTGTGTTTCCAACCAACCTCAAGCATGCTTATGTAACACCAATCCTTAAGAAACATAACCTGAATCCAGAGGATTTGTCTAATTTTAGGCCGATTTCCAACATTCCGTTCCTCTCTAAGGTACTCGAGAGGATTGTGTTCACAACTTAAATATTTCCTCCAGGAAAACGATCTCCTTGGAAAAATGCAGTCCGCCTATCTTCAATTTTGTAGCACAGAAACAGCTCTTCTCCGTGTTCAAAACGATCTGCTGACTGCAATTGACCAGCGCCACGACGCCTTGCTCGTCCTGTTGGACTTTTCTTCGGCTTTTGACACTGTCGATCATACCATCCTTCTGCACTGACTTTCTAGTCACTTCGGTATTACAGACAAGGCACTACAATGGATCGCAACTTACATTAATTTTCGAACTCAATCTGTCGTCATTGGAGATGTCTCCGCGGCCAAACATAGTCTTTCTTATGGGGTCCCGCAGGGGTCTGTTATTGGACCCCTATTATTCACACTGTATATCAGCCCACTTGAAGATGTTGTTTCATCTCATAATCTACGCTGCATGATGTATGCCGATGACATACAGATATACATCGATTTCCATCCAAGTGAAATCTCCAGTTCACTTACTAAGCTCAACCAGTGTGTAGGCTGTGTCCAACAATGGTCTCTAGCTAACAAGCTTCATCTCAATGTCAAAAAACAGAATTAATTCGTTTTTCTTCATGCTTTCGAGCAGTTGAAGCCATGTCTCTACAACCATATCAGTTTCTGGTCGAACCAAAGACAGAGGTCCGTAACCTTGGTGTAATACTCGACTCTACACTACAAATGAAGTCCAATATCAATGCTGTATGTCGCTCTTCCTGTGCCCCTCTCTGTAAAATTGGAAAAATCAGAAAGTTTCTCGACAAACCCACTACTCTACGTCTGATATATGCCTTTCTCAATTCACGGCTCGACTATTGCAACAGTCTCATCTCTGAACTACCCAAGACAGAAATAGCTAAGCCACAGCGTATTCAAAAATCTGCTGCTCGTCTGGTTACCTTAACTAAGCGACGTATCCATATTACACCCATACTATATGATCTTCACTGGCTTCCTGTCGACAAAAGAATTATTTATAAAACATTGCTGTTAACATACAAGGCAATGAACAATCTCGCTCCAGAATACATCACCGAACTGCTCACTCCTTACACGCAAACACGCTCTCTCCGATCCGCTTCTAAGAATCTTCTAAAAGTTCTGAAAAGCACTACTATCACATACGGCTCACGGGCATTCACCTCCGCGGCGTCTACCTTATGGAATGCACTTCCAGATGAAATCAGGAACGCCGACTCACTTCAGCTTTTTAAAAAACAACTCAAAACTCACCTCTTCACTGAAAGTTTTTACCACTATTTTGTTTATTTTCCTTCTTTTCCCATTAACTGTTTAGCTAGACACCGCCATCACTTGAGCACCTGTGAGTCATGCATCAGCGGGCTTTACGCCTTAAATTGCAGATAATTGCCTCGAGATTGGTCCAACGGGAGGCGCTATACAATTCGCAAATTATTATTAATTATTATTATTATTAAATAAAAGTATTAGCTCTACGGCAGGCTTGCTTTACAAATTAAAGAATTTTATTCCTCCTTCAATTTTTTATTGTTATATAATTGTTTTGTCTTGCCACACATTTCATATGCACTTGAGGTCTGGGGAAGTACATATATGACACATTAAAACCAATACACCTTACTCATAAAGAATTGTACGCACTATAACACATTCAGACAGATTAGCACACACATCATCACTATTTACAGAACTGGCAATCCTTAACATTTATAAACAATATTAATTTCAATTACTTTTATTTGTATATGACAGCATTAACAGCAGATTTCCTTGAACAATTCCTCAATATGTTTCATATGTTCAGCATTATCACACGACAAGGGAGCAAACAAAGGGGAATCTG